TTATTTTTTTTTTTTGAGTTGGAGTCTCACTCGGTCGCCCAGACTGGAGTGCAGTGGCCGCTTCCGGCCACCGCAGCCTCGATCTGCTGGGCTCCAGCGATCCTTCCGCCTCAGCCTTCCAAGCAGCTGGAATTATAGGCATGCGCTACAATGCCCAGCTGATTTTTTGATTTATTGTAGAGATGAGGTCTCGCTGCCCAGGCAGGTCTCGAACCCGCGGGCTCAGGCAATCCACTCACCTCAGCCTCCCAAAGGCGTGGGATTACAGGCTGAGCCACCGAGCCCAGCTCCAACATATATTTAATTAACCTGGCAAAGCATTTTGCTATCATCTTACTACTTCCACTCACCGATTTATACAGAGGTTTATAGAATTTACATAAGCAAACTGAGAACATCTGGAGGAGAGAACCTTTGAGGTCAAAACCTGGAATTCTTTTGACCATTCCAGAAAGGAGGAAGTGTTCAAGAAGGAAAAGATCCATGGCAATGAAAAGAGACTACTACTTCTGATGAGTCCGGGTTCACTGTATTAATTTAAGATTATGTTATTCCCAGCCAGGTAGAAATGTGGTTTTGGTCAAGTTACTGTTTTAGAGATTTTGTCTCTGCTCCCTCACTCTTGCTTTGTTAATGCTGTGGCCTCCCTCTCCAACTGACTCCTAATATAACAGAGTTGACTATGATAAAATGGAAGCCAGATTTATGATCTTGCATGTAGGACACATTTGAAAACCCAGAACAAGTGACCAAAATCTTTGAAAATGGACCTATAGAAGAGGTGCTCAGATGGCAGGCCAGAGGCCTGGGTGCAGCCAATGAACAGAAGAGTTGAGGTACCCAGGGAAGGCACACGAATGCACACTTTGAATGGGCATCACCCCTGCTGGCACTCACCTCGCTGAGGGAAGGAAAGCGTTCTGTCCCAGAGTCCAAGCCACTGTCCCCCTCCTGGGAATCCAGAGAGAGACGGCCTGAGAAGAAAACAGTTTATGTAACAAGGAAGGAACTGCGGCCTGGGGGAAAGAGAAGTTTTGCTTTGGGCCCTGAGTATAGGGCAGGGTGGGGAGTTGCCACCTTTTCTTGGCCAGTTTCCCTTCGGCTGTCTCACCCTGGGCACACCTCTCCTCTGCTCTCACCATGTCCAGCTTTCACCTATCTCTGCACCTGGGGCACAGGCCATGTCACCTCCTGGAATAAGATACTACAGCTCCACCTCACAAGTAGCCTTGCCCCAACTCATTCCCAATCCTCTTCTGGTAACCATCAACTTCTTGCAAGAATTTGTTGAGCTCCTAAGTGCCAGGAGCAAGTGGGCAAGCTGCTGCCTGGATCCTACTCATTCCAGCATCTCTGGCCCCTATCTACCCAGTTCTGCTGGGAATACACTCATATCCAATTCCCTGTGCATTTGTATTGCTTTCTCCCACTATTCCATTCCCCAGAGGATAGGTACTATATATTTTTCTTCCCAGAATATGATCTGTGGGCAGGGTAAAATAGGTAAGAAACTGGACTAGAGATATGTCAGAGAGAAAAGGGGTGCTTGGTGGACTCACCTTCTGGTGGTCTCTGGCCGGTATCACCATATAGTGGAGGTATGTCCTAAAAAAGAAAGGCCCACAGGGTAGGCAAATTCTGTGAACCTCTCCCCCTACTTTTCTTCCTCCAATCAGTGCCTTATTTGCTTATAGTAAGTGGCCCCTTCTGCTTCATTGACTAAAAAATGCCCAGCTGGAACAGATATTGCTTCATTTGTACAGTTTGAAGATGATGATGACCCTTCATGGTGGAAAGGGAGCTTTACCATTAGTAAAATTCTAAAATCTCACTTTATCATCCTGGACCTATAAGCCTCTTAAGCCTTATTTGGGTTGGATACAAGGAAGAACTTCATAACCATCAAGGAATACAAAAAGCTCAAGCAGGTGACTAAGGGAGAAATAACAGGTTTACCTCTAGAGATCTTTGAGGAGAATCTATGGTTCGTTAGTCTGAGACTAACCCAGCTGATGTGAAGGAAACAATGTTGACAGAGCTTTAGCGTTTACCAAGCACTTTTCTATATATCACATTTCATCTTCCAATGACTCTGAGTTAGGCGTGTTACTCTGGTGTCATGAATGAGGAAACAGAAGCTCAGAGATCTTAAGTAACTTGCCCAAGTTACACAGCAGGTCAACTCCAAAGCATGGGCTGGAGCTGAGACCTTCAGATTCCAAGCTTGGTGTCTCCGACTCAACACCTCATAGCGCAACTAGTAGTGGCAGCAGCAGCAAACACGTAATGGCCCCAGTGACAAGGACATGCTTTTAATCCTGATAATGCTGTGATCTCCATTTTATAAATGAGGAAACTGAGGTTCCTAGCAACTAAGTAACTTGCCCAAGAGTCTTAAAGCTGGTGAGAACTAGAGCTAGGATTTGAATCCAGATGGTCCAAGTACACAATCTGAGCGCCTATCAACCATGTAATACCATACATCCCTCAGAAAATGAAGCAGTTTGTTTGCCTCTGTTTCCCATACTTTTTTGATCTGGATGTTCTAAAAAAGAAAGTAGATAACCTTTAAATAATTTCTATTGGCTTTGGCAAATACAATCGTAGGAGACCTTAAAGTTTCTTCAGAGATACTGCTTAGCTGCCTGAAGAATTAAAGACCTGAGGGGATAAGTAAGACGCTAATAGTGAAATCCCTGAACAGATGAACCATCTCCTCTCTGGCATTTTCCACAATGCGTGGTTAGTTGCCAATAGAGCTCCCTCTCAACTGACTGGGAATTTTTATGTAACCTGGCTTTAAAAAGTACTTATATTTCTTTGAGAAGGCCCATTACTTGAAGGATAGGTGGTGGGAAAAGGTACCAGGTAAATATTGAGTAAAACCAGTGTAGAAATATGCATCAGCTATGAAGAAAATACCCAGAAGGGAAGGATAATTAGGAGACTAAAATTGATAGTCTGATTTATTTCATATCTATTTCTTTCCATTGCTTAAGTTCTTGGAGGGCAAGAAAGAGGCTTTTTCTTGTTATGGTATCCTCAGTGTCACAACAGTGTTCAGACTCTTTGGTGCTGACCTTGGAGGGGGGGTCCTTGTAAAATATTAAACACTTACTAGCTCAGCCTTGAGTTCCTGGCATAACCCAGGAAGCCTTAGTCCTTGCTGTCACCTCCACCCACCCCCAGTCCAACTGCATGAGCCTTTCCTAGAGCTGTGCCTACATCACTCACCACGGAGCCACCAGTCTCCTGCTGGATCTTCAGCTGTAACTGAGTGACTCGTCGCCGGGTACCTTCGATCTGCTCTTCCAGCAGGCTGGCAGGGTTCCGGCTATACACCTCACAGATACGCTGGGGAAGGTGAGGAGGAGGAGGAGGAGGGGAAAAGGCAGAGGGATGGTTAGTAGAGAATGGATGACTCACCAGCGGGGAGAATAGGCAGTTATCCCAAAACAGAGAGAAGAGAAGAGAGATCTCCATCTTCCAGCAGAGGCATGTTATTTCACCGTCATTTAGGATCAGAATAAGGTGTAAGCGATGAGAAACAGAACACACAAGGTACCCGCAGAAAGAAGACAAAACACAAAGGCCTGACCTAATCTGACCCAGGTCTTCCTCAGCTACTACTCAAGTGTGAAATACTTAAGAGACTGTCCAGACCAATACACAAAAAAGTGCTACAGAGGAAACTCGCACACAATGAGAACCACAGATGAGAGGAAGCAGCGCTGACCAGAGCAGCCAAAACCACATCAGCTCAGTTCTGTCATCAGGAAGCAGGAGAGCAGGAGCCATCCTAACACTGATCTAGTTCCTGGCACAGCACGCAACAGAATGCAGCTCAGGGTTGAGGGCTTTGCAGTCAGGGATACCTGGCTTTGAATTTGGCATCTCTACTTACTAGCTGTGTAGACCTGGGCAAGCTTGGATATGTCCTCATCGATAAAATGGAGATGACAATACCTGCCTCATGGGCTGGTTGTAAGCCCTGAATGAGATTATGTACGGAATTATGTATGGATTATGTATGATTAGCAGAACATCTGGTGCACAGTTACATGCCTGAGTATGCAGCAGCTGTTAGTATTTCACTACAAAAGGCCATGCCTAGTAAGGCTTGCTGGTTAAATGAGTGAAGATGGGGTTTCACTGCTAACCGACAACCTTTTCACAAGTTCCCCACATTTGATGTTTCTTCTTCAAGCCCGTGAAGTCCCATCCCCTTCCCTCAGTCTCAGCAGGTGTCATCTAGCAAAAACTTTCCCAACTTTACTCCACTTCAAAACATCTTCAGCCATCTTTCTTCTTGTCTCTGAAGAGAAAAGTCTAAATCTTTTAAGTTCATCCCTCTGACTACTTTGGACTCTTCTTGAACACTGTTCACATTATCTTCAAAGTATCCTTTTCCCAATAGCTCCTTCCCTTCATCCCACAGAAATGTTTAAGTTTCCTGACTTAAAACAAATCACCACAACCAAATCCTTCCCATCAACTCTGATTATCCCTCAAGTCACTACCCATTTGTTTCCCCTTCCTTTCATAGCCAAATGTTTCTAAACAGCAGTTTACACCTGGAGTCCCACAATTCTTTGCCTCCAGTTGTGCCCCAACACCCACAATCCAGTTTCCTTCCCATCACCTCAACCATCTACTCTTTCAAAGAACAAACTAATAGCAAGTGGTGTGATGTCAGAGGTGGTGCAGTGTGAGCAGAGGTCCCCAAATTCCATCCTGGTGCCCTGGTTGACCCCCAGTCTCCAATCTCCACTATCAACTTCACACTAAGGAAACCTGAATCTCCATTTCACCCGGCCGTTCCCCTAGCTTCAGCCCCATTATCTCCATATGCCTGGAGACAGTCTTTATCTGAATGTCTCATGGGCACCTTAGACTTGGTACACCCAAAGCTGACCTTCATTTCTTGCCTCTAAGCTCTGCTTCTCTCTTCTCACTCCATCAATGGCATCACCATCCACCCAGACACCCATACCCGGGGCCATTTTTCATTCTTCGCTCTTACCAGTTGGTAAGTTCTGTAGATTTGATCTCTGAGTTGTCTCCCATTGCTGTCCTCACCTTGTTGTTGCAACTCATATCATTCTTGTTAGATCTGTCATCGTCTCTTATCTACTGCAACAGCCTCCTAGATGGTTTCCTTACATCAGTGCATTTAACATACTTCTCTAAAGAACACTGATTTGCAAATGTGATCAGTCCCCTACTAAAAAATCCTTTGATCAATTTCTACTGCCTTAAGAACAAACTCCAAGCTCCTCACGGTATTCAAGGCCCAAAGTACCTTTTAACCAGCATCCCACTGCCATCCTTAATGTTCTAGTCACAGCAGACCAAACCCAACTCAAACATCATGTTGTGAAGCCTTCTGATTATTGCTTTTTGGGGATTCCATAGCATTAAAAAATTTAAAAACCTGTTGGGATATAATTCACATAACATCACCACCTTAAAGTGTACATTTCAGTGGTTTTTGATATATTCACAGAGTTGTATAGTCATTCCTACTACTTAATTCCAGAACATTTCTATCACCCTAACAAGAATGCTAGTACCTGGAAGAAGTCACTCCCAATTTCCCTCTTGCTCCACCCTCTGGCAACCACTAATCTACTTTCTGCCTCTATGGATTTGCTTATTCCGGACATTCCATATAAGTGGGATTATACAATATGTGGACTTCTGTGTCTGGCTTCCTTCACTTAGCATAATGTTTTCAGGGTTCTTCCATGTTATAGCATGTATCAGGACTTCATTCCTTTTTATGGCTGAATATTATCCCATTGTATGAATATACTTCATTTTACTTATCTATTCATCAGCTAATAGACCTTTTTGGGTTGTTTCTACACTTGGGTTAATATGAATAATGTTGTTAGAAATGAGTTGGAGTCTCACTCTGTCGCCCAGACTGGAGTGCAGTGGCTGCTCCCGGCCACCGCAGCCTCCAACTGCTGGGCTCCGGCGATCCTTCCGCTTCAGCCTTCCAAGTAGCCGGAATTACAGGCATGCGCTACCACGCCCGGCTGATTTTTTGATTTATTGTAGAGATGAGGTCTCGCCGCCCAGGTGGGTCTCAACCCGCGGGCTCAGGCAATCCACTCACCTCAGCCTCCCAAAGGCACGGGATTACAGGCTGAGCCACCAAGCCCGGCTAGAAATTTCTTGTGAACATATATTCTCAATTCTCTTGAGTATATACCTAAGAGTGGAACTGCTGGGTCATATAGTATCTCTGTTTTTGAGTAACTGCCAAGCTGTCTTTCCAGAGTGGCTGCACTATTTTGCATTTCCACTCTTAACATGAAAACAGATTAGGATAGTGAACATACAGACAAAATATATGTAAGTATTGCCCAGATGTCTCCATAACTTTACCAAACACTTGTTATTTTCTCTTATATTGGTTACAGTCATCCCATAGTAGAAGACAATAGGTAGAATCTCACTGTCACTTTGATTAGTATCTCCCTATGACAAACAATGTTGGACATCTTATCATATGCTTAGTGGCCATTTGTATGTTTTCTTTAGATAACTGCCTACTCAAATCCTTTGCCAATTTTAAAATTGGGTTATTTGTCTTTTTACTGTTGAACTGGAGGAGTTCTTTATATATCTGGTATTAGATCCTTATCAGATACGCCTACTTCCATTTTTCTGTGGGTTGTCTTTATACTTTCTTGATAATGTCCTTTGATGCACAAAAGTTTTTAATTTTGATGAAATCCAATTTATCTTTTTTTGCTATTTGTGCTTTTGGCCTCATATCTAAAAAACCACAGCCTAATCCAAGGACATAAAGATTTACACCTAAGCTTTTATCTCAGAGTTTTATAGTTTTTAAAAATAGAATTGCCAGATGCAGTGGCTCAAGCCTATAATTCCAGCACTTTGGGAGACCAAGGTGAGAGGACTGCCTGAGCCCAGGGATTGTAGAACAGTCTGGGCAACTTGGTGAGACCTCATCTCTATGATAAATCAAAAAATTAGCCAGGCGTGGTAGCATGTGTCTGTAGTTTCAGTTACTTGGAAGGCTGAGGTGGAACGATCACCTGAGCCCAGCAGATCAACACTGGGGTGGTCATGAGCGTGCCCGTGAGCATGTCACTGTACTCCATCCAGCCTGGGCAACAGAGTGAGACTCCAACTAAAAAAAAAAAAATAGTTTTAAGGTCCATTTCCAGGCCATTGTGGCCATTACCTTGCTATGGTGTGGTCATGTACTCTTTGAGCTATGGCCAGGCCATGTTTTTAAGCTTTGGCCCCCTCCCCTGCCTTGGAGAGGTGAACCCTGCCTTCTCTCTCTCTCTCCAATTTACTTTCTAACTAAACTACATTTTCTAATCTAAGAAAAAATATTTTAGCTCTTACATATAAGTCTCTGATACATTATGAATTATATTTTGCTTATTGTGTGAGTTAAGAGTGCAAATTCATTCTTTGCATGAAGCTATCCAGTTGTCTCAGGATCATTTGCTGAAAAAGCTATTCTTTTTCCATTGAAATGTCTTGGGAGCCGGGCTCAGTGGCTCAGCCTGTAATCCCGCGCCTTTGGGAGGTTGAGGTGAGTGGATTACCTGAGCCCGTGGGTTCGAGACCCGCCTGGGCAGCGAGGTCTCATCTCCACAATAAATCAAAAAAACACCTGGGCATGGTAGCGCATGCCTGTAATTCCGGCTACTTCGAAGGCTGAGGCGGAAGGATCGCCGGAGCCCAGCAGGTCGAGGCTGCGGTGACCGGAAGCGGCCACTGTACTCCAGTCTGGGCGACAGAGTAAGACTCCAACTCAAAAAAATAAAATAAAATAAAAAATAAATAAATAAATGTCTTGGCATCTCTGTTGAAAACCAATCGACCATAGATGTATGGGTTAATTTCTGGATGCTGAATTCTATTCCATTGATCTATAATGATCTTTGTACCAGTACCATTCTGCTCAATTATCCTATGACACTTGTCAGTATATACATACTAGCACTTACTGCAATATATCTTCATTCATCCACCATATCCTAAGGATATGGAAAGGTTCACCTCTTGTTTATCTTTGTAAACATTCTAGCTCCTATCCCTAATACCACCTCCATCTACTGCCCCAACACAAACACAATACCTAGCACACAGCAAGAACTCAGTACTTGTGAAAGGAATGAATGTATTTTCACATCATTGTGCCTTTGACCTATGCTGTTCCTTCACTGACATTCCCTGCCTCATCTCTTTTATCTGCTTAAGTCCCACTCTTCAAGGCCCAGCTGAAATACTATCCCTTCTGTAAAGCCTTCCCCCACGTTTAAGGAGGGAAAGAGAGAGTTTGGGGACTAGTTCAGTAGCCTAATTATCTCCTAGCTGCTGACTGTTGGGTAACAGAAGCTATGCGAGTAGGGCCTGGTCACATAAGGCCCAGCTGAAATACTATCACTTTTGTAAAGCCTTCCCCCATGTTTCCCATTATTTCCTACTATTTAATTAACTGCTCTCTTTTTTGTTCTCTTATTGCAAGTTCCTTGTTTCTCCCACTCTCCCTCCTACGGGAACTTGCATTTCCCCTATTAGATTTTAAACACTGAGGGCAAGAACCATCTAATCTTTTTCACTTCTGTATACCATAGAACTAAAACAATGCTTTACATATAGTACCGACTACAGAATTTTGCTGAATTAAAATGAAGGGGTAAGGAGATCCACTGCAAGCCACAGATACAATGGAAATCTGGTTATTTCACTCCAGCAAATTAATCTCCTTATTGTTCTCTGTGCATATCATTTCCAAGGCCTTGGAAATCTCTCTTTATCCCCTCCACCAACAGCACTCACCTACCAACTCCTTCCCTTCCTTGGAAGCCAAGAACAACTCCAAATGATTCTGATTTTCTTTTCTTTTTTTTTTGAGTTGGAGTCTCACTCTGTTGCTCAGACTGGAGTGCACTGGCCACTCCCGGCACCGCAACCTCGTCTGCTGGGCTCTGGCAATCCTTCCACCTCAGCCTTCCAAGTAGCTGGAACTAAAGGCGAGCGCTACCACACCTGGCTCATTTTTTTTTATTTATTGTAGAGATGAGGTCTTGCCAAGTTGCCCAGGCAGGTCTCGAACCTGCGGGCAGAGGCAATCCGCTCACCTCAGCCTCCCAAAGCACTGGGATTACAGGCTGAGTCATGGATCCCGGCCAGATTCTGATTTTCATCAGTTCTAATGTTCCCTCATTTTAGTGTACCTGGCTTGCTGTTTGTCTTTTGTCTACAAGTTCTCTATCCTAATCTATTACCCATGGACCTCTATTACCCTAACCACTCTATCAGTCAAATTCTGCCTTAACAAATTCTACTGGTCAATGACAATCCTGAAGTTTTATTTTTTAAGGTTTTACTGGGATAGGATCTTGACTGTAAATTAAGTTGTACATATTGGCAGATTGCTCTGATAAAGCATCATTTAATTAAGGCAATGGCCAGTTCACCCTTGGCAGTGACCTTACCTGTAACTCTTTTTCTTCCTGCCTCAGCATATTCCTGAGGATCTGGGTGGCATGTTTTTGAACTTCAGGATCCTAGAAAATATGGAAATATGGTGGCAGTGAGAGAGCTTAGGGACTAGTTCAGTAGCTAAATTTAATCTCCTAGATGCTGACTGTTGAGTAACAGAAGCTATGCAAGTAGGGCCTGGTCACATAAATATGTTGGAATGCAGTGAACACAAAACAAAATCTTACTTTGATTTTACTCCTGAACTTCCTAGAAACCTTGGCTATAATCACCTCTGGTATCAAGTTGCTCTCTGAAGTCTCCCAGGACGTGCAGACTCAGTCTTGGTTCCAACCAAAAAACTCTGTTCCCTTTACCTACTTGCATCTTATCCTCGTTTAACTCCTCACACAGGCTTTCCTTGCTCCTGGGGTTCTCTCTCTACTCGTTCTTGTTCTTTTATGACTCCCTCTGCTGACTTGACTTTACACCACACAACACCACACCCTGGAACACTGACTAGCAAAAGTCTCTCTAACAGATGCATCTGTCCACGCCTCCAAGCGTGCTTTCTCTCCTGATGAGGAGGTGGGCTTGCAGAGGGCCTCCGCAGTCTTCTACACATTTAGGACACTGAACGCTACTGTCTGATAAAACCTCATGCTTATGTGCACAGGAGGGGCACACAAAGGCACAAGATGCAGCCTTCATTTTGGCTCAGCCCTCTGATGGTCTTCCATGTGTCTTTTGCTTTGTCTCTGCTCATTCAGTCTAACCCACTTTCCTCTCCAACGGAGAGCTCTTCAAAGGGACATTAGAGCAAGGAAGGAAGGCCAAGAGGGCCATTACCTGCAGAGGTTTGGGTCCCGTGATTCGTTGTGGAGGTGGTAGAGGTGGAGGCGGTGGTGGTGGGGGGATCACTGGGGTGACTCGAGGAGCTCCTGCTGGGGATGGGTCCTGTTGGAGTCCAGAGACACTGACGGACGAAGGTGAAGAGCCCAGGAGGGTGAGTGCAACATAGGCGCCAGCTAGAGGGAAACAGAGGCTTGCTCCAGGCATGCTGTTCTGGAGAGACATTTCAGCTACATAGAAAGGCATTTTTCGCCCTTGTCCTGTCATTAAGCTCATAATTCTGTAGATTAAGTTCTCCTACTTTAATGCCCCACCCATTCTGTAATTCCTGCCCTCCTGCCCTGCGTCAACCAAGTACAACTTTCTGCCCTTTCTTCATGCAGAGACTTCAATGAAAGTTCCACTCATAAATATCTGGGAACACTCCCCGTGGGCTGCCCCCTTTATCTCACTAAATGAAGCAGCCAATTTCCAGCCCTACTATGCTGCCTGCCTGGCACAGAGCAGGAGCTCAGATTCTAGCTCTCTGTGCTCCCCAGATGGCTGTCTTTTCCGTGTCCTTCAGTTCTCTCCTCAACATTTGTTGCTTCTATTTTATTTTCTGTGCAGATTCAATTGTTGGGTCTTCCTGGCTACAAAGAAGTATTTTTGCTTTTTCTCCACAAATAGGAAACAAATGAGGAAGAATGTCCATGAATGGGAGAGGGAATCACATGATAATTAAGTGAGGCATGGTCTCGGTAGGATATAGTCTAAACAGGAGTGATAAAGACAGGTGTGGGTAAAAATAAAGACATCTGATGAGAGACTCATAGTCTCTCCACTTGAAATAATAGGGAGCTGTGGCCGTTGAAGTGGATCATTCCATGTCAAGATTAAAGATGTGACTCCAGCTGCTATACACATCTACAAAGGAAGCCTCCTGGGATAGTAGGCCAGCTCTTCCCTCCTTCCCCATCTTTCTCTCACCCATCCGTCCTGCAACTTTCTTTAGTTGTCACCTCTCTCCAACTCACATTTGATAAGCTTCACCACCTCCAGGTGTGAGCTGTTGGTCACCATGGTGCCGTTGACCTGTTGGAGGGACAAATGGTACTGAGTAATGATGGACACCTAGGGCATCCTCCTGTACGTTCAGAATGCCTCTTCATTAAAAGGCCATTTTACAATGTTCTTTAGCCACCTCTGGACATTTGTTTACTCAAATTCACATTACAAATTTGCTCCTATTCGCATCTGCTGTGCGTCTGTCTCTCTAGCTAGTCTATAAGTTTTCAGAGATAAGACCTCTGTCTTCATTCCTTAATCTGTTCATTTATTTTTATATACTTTTCTAACCATTTGCCTCACATACATGTGTATGTCAACTGGCCCAGTATGTTTCCTCCTTATTAGAGGGCTAAGGAGTCTCTGCATCTTGGATTTCCTTAATGCTTCTAGGACTCCATTTTGCAGCAGGGCAGATTACAGAAGTTCAGAAGTGGCAAGGATCCTAGATCAGCATTGTATAAAGGACAGAATATCAACCTGAGAATCTGAAGGCTTGGGTCTTTCATCAGTCACAACCCCTCTCTATCTGATTCCTGTCATTTGTGAAACAGGAATAATGAGACCTGTTCTAGCTTGGTGGTTTTAGGGTCAAGAAGTGTCTAGAACATGGATTCTACTTATCTTTAGTTTCTCCCCACCCTCTCTCACACTATACCACTGTGCTCCCTCTCACAGTGCTACTCTCTGACTCAGTGGTTGATGGGCAGTTGGCATCGAGATGGAAGTGTGCAGGATGCGCCAAGGCCAGAAGTGCCCCTGCACACCTGCGTCCACTCCTGGGGGTGGGTGAGTGTTGGAGTCACTCACTTTGATTATCCGGTCACCCTCTTTCACACCAGCTTTCATGGCTGCACCTCCTGTAAGGAAAAGGTCTAGTCAGCAGAACCCAACACCATCTCCCAGAGGTGGCTGAATTTACACCAAGGTCCCTGTTAGATCACCTGCGCTCTGAAATGTCCTCTCATTTTTCTGTGTTATGTACCTGAAATGCTAGGTGTATATCCTATTCTGCTTCAGTGATACAACTACTAGCTAGAGTGGACTGTGTAAGGTCATATCTCCTGTTCTTCCCTTCACCTAGATAAGATGTCAGACTTCTGATAACCAGGCCAGAGACAGGTAGGGCCAGGGTCAGGGAAGAACACACGTACTTCATCATAATGTATCTGGATATGGTCCAAGGTCAAATAAGAGTTGACTCTTATTATCCATTAGGAAAAATCAGTTTGCTGCATTAAAGATAATTGTTAAAATAATAATAATAAAAAGGAATATGGAGACAAGGATTAAAACAAGAGTTTTCAAACTTGTAGTTCACAGGTCCTAAAAGGTTCATAAATATATTCTGGGGGTTCATATCATTAAAGAAGATAATAATAACTGATTTAAGACGGGCTCGGTGGCTCAGCCTGTAATCCTGCGCCTTTGGGAGGCTGAGGTGAGTGGATTGCCTGAGCCCGCGGGTTCGAGACCCACCTGGGCAGCGAGACTTCATCTCTACAATAAATCAAAAAATCAGCCGGTGTGGTAGCACATGCCTGTAATTCCGGCTACTTGGAAGGCTGAGACGGAAGGATCCCTGGAGCCCAGCAGTTCGAGGCTACGGTGGCCAGGAGCAGCCACTGCACTCCAGTCTGGGCGGCAGAGTGAGACTCCAACTCAAAAAAAAAAAAATTGATTTATTTTCTGGGTTTAAAAAAACTGCTTTCAATTATTTAGTTTCTTCCCTTAAAATGGATCAGATTAAGAGTTTCCGATGGTGCCTGACTAACAAGTGCTCACAAGAATGTGCTCTTGACTTTTTCAAGTTGTCACTTAACTGGAGGTTGCAGTGGTTTTGACTACAATATAGTTTTAAGTGACTTATATTCCTAGTTTAACTTATATCCAGAAAGCACAAGAAACACTAAAGCTGAAACAAGTTAATGAGGAGCATAAAAATTATATTTTATAAATCTGCCACAAGATGATCATTAAATCTGTAAGCTGCATTCATTTGATCAAAACAAAACTCCCATAAAGTCCATTTAAATGTTTCTAGTCTAAAAAGAAAAAACACAGCAATGACTACATTCCAAATTGGCTTTTCAATACTGGGACTCAAGACTCCCCTCATCTAAAGTGCACTATTTATGGACAAATACTTGCTAATCTCTTGACACGTTCTCTTATAGAGTCATCTAGAAACTAATAAAGTGGAAAAAGCTATCTTGCCTGAATGTATGAAACACAAAGCGGTAACTTCTAATAACTTAGTGGTGGAAAAAAAAAATCAAAATCTTCAGAGTAAAGGAATTTGAGCAAAGTTCTTAGACTTCAGTAAGTATGAGAACTGCTGTGGGAATTTGTCAAAAAGTATATTCCTTAGCCTCCTTGCCAGAAAGCAATTCAGTACTTCTGGGGTCAAGTCTAGGAAAAAGGATTTCAATCATCCTAGGCCCTAAGTGATTCTGATATAGGCAGAATACGGACTACACTTTGAGAAACTGAATCAAAGAAACCTAATACATATCTGGAAAAGACAATAACAACTGCTTTGTTACTCATGATTTCAATGCCAGTCCAAATGAAGTCTTGTCCTCTCTCCTCCCCAACACACACACACACACACACACAATCTAAAACTCTGATTTTCCTCCAAGCCATCCTTTTGTTCTTTCCTCTTGGGGTCTGACTCTACTCAGCCTAACAGGAGGAACAGAGTGAAGGAGAGCTGAACCTGCTGGAGGGGACTCCATATGTTCTGTATCAAATAGACTGCAGAAGCAGAGCACAAGTTATTGGCAGTTCCACTGTCTCACTCTAGTACCGCAACCCTTAGAAATGAGAGAAGCAAAGAATAAAACTATCTTTTCAGCACTTTATACTAGGATATACAAAAGAAACCTCCCACTATAAAAGTTAACTCCCAAATATAAGAAGCCATAACTACTCATATCCTTGTATAATCCATATATCTCATTTGGTCACAAATTTGAAATTCTCTTTTCACCTTTCCTGTAAACACAGTCCAAATCTTTCTCCAAAATGAATATACGTATATTTTCCTTTCTCTTCTGCACCAGCCTGCTCCCTCCCCATTCCTTGTGTTCTTCTATAAACCATGCTTAAGAGGCTCCAAGGTCTCGTTCCATCAGCTGCACTGAAGTTCACCCCTTTTGGGGATACTGCCTTATCCTCTTTCATACTCCATCTCCTTCCTGATTGTCCTCTTCAGTCTGGGTCACTAATAATGATTCTGCCACCCAGCATTAAGACACAGCTTTGACTGTTCACAGTTCTTCTGTACATAATTGGTCACTTGATGGATTTGGTTACGATGCCTCCCACTCTTCATTCCCTTCTCACCAAATTCCTCTTCTGCCAATCTGTTTTTCATTTCCATCTTTCGAACTACTTCTAAAATCCTGCTTCTTTTAATAGGGCTTCCAAACTGATCAGAAGAAAAATGACCACACCTCAAACCACAAACTACTCAAACTTCCAAACACTACTTCCTCTGATGTAATGTCCAACACACATCATTTTTTTTTGGGGGGGGGTAATTTATTATTAAATGCTACTTGTATCTGGAAATGGATTTTATAACCATGTGGACCGGTATGTCTGTGTCAAATTATATGTCTCTGTAGAAAGTGACTGTGCACTTAACCAGGTAATGTGAAGGTAATTATGGAAAAAAAAGGGGCCTCTTTTTCTTCCCTGACATCTTTTTTTTTGAGTTGGAGTCTCACTCTGTCACCCAGACTGGAGTGCAGTGGCCGCTCCCGGCCATCGCAGCCTTGACCTGCTGGGCTCTGGCGATCCTTCCGCCTCAGCCTTCCAAGTAGCCGGAATTACAGGCATGTGCTACCACACCCAGCTGATTTTTTTTTTAATTTGTTGTAGAGATGAGGTCTTGCTGCCCAGGCAGGTCTCGAACCCGCGGGCTCAGGCAATCCACTCAACTCAGCCTCCCAAAGGCGCAGGATTACAGGCTGAGCCATGGAGCCCAGCTTCCCTGACATCTTATGACCCAACATGAGGGGCTCCCTTCAATGGCAATCAGACATCTGCCTGGTGACTGGAGGGCTATTCTGCGGGCTTTGCATTTCCCAACTGGATAAAGGGCAATCCCTAGAAATTCTGCCTCCTGGCTCAGCCCTGTGGAGACTTCCCTAGTCACCCATGGAGAACCAGTTCTAGAGTAATTCATTTGTGTCCCCCAGAAAAGCACAACTTCTCCAAGTCATGTGGCACTGTCACAAATATGGTGGCTTTGTAAGAACTGTCCACTGTGACTGGGAAAGATACAACACTCACCAGGCCGCACAGACTGCACCAGAACGATGCGATCCCCACTGACAGTGAAACCGAAGCCATGCTGGTCTTTTTGGATGATGACACAGCGTTGAACAAGACCTGGCAGGAGGTGAGAAAGAAAAAGAAGGTTCTGTAGGCAGCGTCACTGGAAGGTTAGTGTACACAAGTCAGGAAAGCCCCAGTGCATTTCTTCCTCAAGAAGCCTCTTCAGATTCATCGAATTCTCCAGGCTTATCTTGTCTAAATACTCTATTGAAATGACACGCCTTCCTCAGTGGCTGACAAAAACCTGTAACTTCCTTTGTGTTCTATACTAGAAACTACCTTCCTCTGAAGTGCTCAAATGTTGTCTCTCTTGTATATGTCTGTCCCTTTTGGTCCGTCTGAGACTGGTAAAAAAAGGGGCAAGGGCAAGTCCAGTTATCCTCCTGAAGCCTAATGTTACAGTTAAGTAACCTCCCGGGAATGAAGCTCAAGGGAGACTGGAAGATTTATGTCAAGTTACATCCAATGAAAGCAGCAGGTGGTACACTAATGCTTGTTTTTTAAATTAAATTTTATTTTTTAAAAATTTTCTCGAGTTGGAGTCTCAGTCTGTCACAGTGGCTATTCACAGGCTGGAATAGAGTGGCATGATAACAGCTCGCTGCAGCCTCAAGTGCTGCACCTAGGCTCAGGTGATCCTACTGCCTCAGTCTCCCAAGTAGCTGATCCTGCTAATTTTTTAATTTATTGTAGAGATGAGGTCTCATCATACATCCCAGGCTGGTCTCGAACTCCTGGGATCAGGCAATCCTCTCACCTTGGCCTCCCAAAGTGGTGGGATTATATGCATGAGTCACCACACCCGGCCTCCACCAATGCTTGTTGACTCTATTTGTAAAGCTGGATAGCTCATGCAGAGTGACTTAGGGATGGCCCCTTGTCAAATCCAGGGAAGAATAAATGACAGGAGAAAACCCTTTTATTCACTTCCATACAAAACTTGAAAAAAAAAAAGAGACTATGAGACTATGACTACCAATTGTCTCCAGCCTGTGTGTACTAGATATTGTGCCTGTGTGCAGGCATGTGTGAATGCATCTTGTAATGATTAAAACATGGGTTGTAGAGTTAAAACAGAACTGGCTTCAAGTCCTGATTCTGTCCCTAACAAGCTTGTGCATTGGACAAGCTTCTTAACCCCTCTGTGCCTCAGCTTCCTCATCTGCAAAATAAGACAATAAAACCTACTTTGATACAAGGAGGTAATTTATATAAATGAGGCAATTTATATAAACTGCATAGCACAATGACAGTATACATTATATACGTAACATAAGGCTAAGTTGTCCTCTAGGTCCATGTATGTGTGTGGTTTTTTTGTTGTTGTTTGTTTTTTTAAGAGATGGCGATATCCCTATATTGCCCAAGCTGCAGTACAGTGGCTATTCACAGGCACTATAAGCATGGGAGTTCTGCTCCATTTCCGACCTGGGTTGGTTCACCTCTCCTTAGGCAACCTGGTGGTACCAACTCCCGGAGCCATCAGTATTGATGCCAAACTTATTGTGGATATGTAATCGGCATAGTAGACTATAGCCAAGAACTCCTGGGCTCAAGCAATCCTCTTGCCTCAGTCTCTGCAGTGGCTGGGAATACAGGTGCACACCACCATGCCTGGCCGTGTCTATGGGTTAATGCCCAAGAAGATTACCTGTTGTCTCAGAGATGTCAGAGGGCTGGCGATGGTGGGAAGGGGACTTGCGCTCAGGTGCAGAATCTCCCAGAGAAGACAGGCTACTTAACCTGGAGAGGGAGTAAGAAAGGCACATTAATGAGCTGGCAGGAATGGATCAGCCTTGCAGTGGAAGGAGGCTCTGTCAAAAGGGGACCTGAGTCAGATAATTAGAGACTGATCTGCCCACCCTGTAACCCACTCCTTCTGTTAGATTAGCCATGTCTATACCACTGGCAATATCATTTATCTGGAATCCTGGGCCAGTAAGGTAAGCGTGATCTCTTTAACACCCAGCAAACTGAAAAAGGAAATAGCCCATCCTGGAATCAGGTGACAAAGAGACAACAGCAAGAAAGGGATGTGCACACATATACAAGCTTGTTGAGTCTTACCAGGCTGCAATGGGGCTGATGGAACAGAACGGAGCAGCAGAGAAAATGAATGCAAGAAAAAGACAGGGAAAAACCAAACAACCAGTTAGTTTTAGGTGATGATTTGCAAAGGAAAGGGAGGCTGGAGGGAAGGACATGGTGGGTCAGACATATACAGAGGCCTGCATGAACACAGCAGAGGACTGCGGTAGTTGTAGCAGAGAAAAACTCCCCATTTTAGCTTCATTTCTTTGTCCCTCAAAGTTACACCTCTCCAAAACAGTGGTCTCCAGGAGAGGAACTGGGCATTTAGGACTAGCCTGCTGGGTAACTGGCAACTTGCACACTTTTCTAGAAAAGAAGGTACAGCAACAGCCCAAGCTTTGAAAAATTCCTTTTAACTTTTGGGAACCATAGGAGAACAGGAATCTGGTCTATTTGGTGGCAGTGTCCCAATCCCATATTCAGCCCCATTTCCATAGACAGCCTGAGGTACCTTGCTAAGAAAGTATGAAAGAACCTAAAACCTCAAAGCAGCACAGATCACCAAAGCAGAAGATTCACTGCTTGACCTCCATTCTAACTAGGACCCCCTACAGGAACAGAAACGTTGCTGTGGCCTTCCTTTTTGGAAAAGTGTACAAACTGCCAGATCCTGAATCAATAACTGCTGCCCCTTAGAAAGGGGCAATTCCTATCCCATCTATAGACAAGCAGAAGCACCATGTGTGATGGCAGAACATGAAGATACTCTAAATGTTCACAATGAGTGACTGGTTGAATAAATTATAGTAAAATAATGACACAGAACTCAGCCTCTTTATATACTCTAAAAGGAACGATCTCCATGATAATGTCATTGAGTGAAACAAGCAAGATATAGAATTATTTGGACAGCAAAAAGAAAGGGTAAAAATGAAGAAAATTATGTGTTTAAATGCTTATTTATGTATAAAATAAAATATATGTATAAATATTTAATGTATAAATAAAATATATGTATAAATAAAATTATGTATAAATAAAATATCTAAAATATTGTCTGGAAGGATACAAAAGAAGCAATACTGGTTGCCTCTGAGGAGGGAAATGGTCTTGCGGGAGCACGGAAATGAATTGGAGACTTTTCATTATATTTGGTACACTTTAAATTAAAAAATATCTATTCAAAAAACAAATAACTTTTAAATATAAAGGAAAAGGTCATCTCTCCCACCACAGTGGTGCCCCTCTTACCTGGACAGGTGAGACTGCTTTTTACTGGCTGATCTTTGAATCAGAGAGAGAAGGACACCAAGGAAGAAGAGAGCGTGAGGCCCAGGAGAAAGTGATGCAGGAAAGGAGGAAGAAAGAGAAAAACAAAACACGACATAAACCAGACAAGACACTGGAGGTGGTTGGTTCACAAGAAAAAACACAGGGAAGCCCAGAGAGACCTAGGGGTGAAAAGTGGCCACAGCACAGCAGTGAGCTTACGAACACGCAAATGTATCCATGTCATTTCACTGCTTAAAACCTCTTAAAGCTTTCCCCATTGTACTTGGGAGAAGCGTCACCTGTCTTCAAGCTAGGCCACTTGCCACAGCATCTAACAGGAAGGATCTCTCATGTCACCCACTGCCCCCAGTTCCTACCCTTCCTGCAGCACAGCTACCCAATGGAAACTGCTGTTCACTTGTCTGTTAAGCTGAACAGACAAAGTCAGGGCCAGGTGTGGTGGCTCATACCTGTAATCCCAGCATTTTGGGGGTGGAGGTGAGAGGACTGTCTGAGCCCACAGGTTTGAGACCAGCCTGGGCAACATGGTGAGACCTCGTCTCTACAATAAATAAATTTTTTTAAAAATTAGCTGAGCGTGGTGGTGCATGCCTGTAGCTCCTGGAAGGCTGAAGTGGAAGGATTGCCTGAGCCCAGCAGGTTGAGGCTGCAGTAAGCTGTTATCAAGCCACTGCACTGCAGCCTGGGTGACAGAATGAGACTCCAACTCAAAAAAAAAAAAAAAAGGCAAGGCTGGGAGGGCCATGAAAGCAAAGAGGCCAGGCTCAGTGGCTCAGCCTATGGCTCAGCCTGTAATCCCATGCTTTGGGAGGCTGAGGTGAGTGGATTGCCTGAGCCCGTGGGTTCGAGACCCGCCTGGGCAAGTTGGCGAGACCTCATCTCTACAATAAATAAAAAAATTAGCCAGGCGTGGTAGCGCATGCCTGTAGTTCCGGCTACTTGGAAGGCTGAGGCGGAAGGATCGCCGGAGCCCAGCAGGTCGAGGCTGTGGTGGCTGGGAGCGGCCACTGCACTCTAGTCTGGGTGACGGAGTGAGACTCCAACTCAAAAATAAATAAATAAATAAAATCGTAAAAAATAAAAAAAAGAAAGCAAAGAGGGTCTTGTCTTGCTGCTCAGTGTCTGCAGTGCCTCCTTCGGCAGGGGCTCAGTCCCACTCCCTGTCCTGGTCTTGTATTGTTCCCCTCTCACTTCCTATGGTTTTTGACTTTGTCTTTGCTTACAATGTTCCTTCCTCTTACAGAAACTTCCTGTTCCACTCCCTATTTCTGTACCTACAAGTCAGAAAATAAGGTAAACTTCCAGAAGCTGCAACTTCTGGCTCTCTTCAAATTACCCTGTTTGATCATTGCATGTCCATTCCCCACTCCCCAACCAGGATAAAATTTCAGCTTAATTCATCATTTAATAAAGATTTTGTTATGTTCTAGAAACTAGCCCTGTTATTTAACTCAATAGCCACAAGCCATATAGCTATTTACATTTAAATTTTTAAATAAAATTAAAAATTTAGGTTTCTCAATTGTTCTAGCCATATTTCAAGTGCTTAATGGCTACATAGGGCTAGTGACTACCACACTGGACAATGCAGAACAGCACATTTCCAACACTGAAGAAAGTTCTATTGGACAGTGCTGCTCCAGACACTGCGAGGTACCAGGGTTACAAAAATGAGTAAGACACAATCAAGTGCAGCTAGCAGATGAGGAAAATATTCAGAACTCTAGTACAAACACTTAGTGGCTACAGCCCCTAATCAGAGAGGGATTCTCAGAAAGGACCTTTTATTTTATATATTTTTTTGAGTCAGAATCTCACTCTGTCACCCAGGCTGGAGTGCAGTGGCATGCTCACGGCCACTGCAGCCTCAACCAGCTGGGTTCAGGTGATAGATACTTCCGTCTCAGTCTTCCAAGTAGCTGGAACTACAGGCACACGCCACCACGCCCAGCTAATTTTTTTATTTATTGTAGAGATGAGGTCTCGCCAAGTTGCCCAGGTTGGTCTCGAGCCTGTGGGTTCAGGTTATCCTCTCACCTTGGCCTCCCAAAGTGCTAGGATTATAGGCGTGAGTCACTGTGCCTGGCCATTCAGAGGGAACCTTTTAAAGGTCCTTTGTTCCAACTGCTCATCTGCTGTCTTTGGTTATATCCCAACACCCCACCGTGGAGTTACCCACACTGGGCTTGAACTCTTCCTCCTAACTACCTCAAGAGAAAGCCCAATTTATCTTGGGACACCTCGGGGCTCATCCATGCTTGTTCCTGATCCTGGCAGGAAATTGACTTCCTGTGTCCATATTAAAGCCTAGAAGATGCATTCTGAACCTGGTAACTCTTAACCTGGTATGATTTTCATTTGCTCTGGGGCATGAGCAGTTCTATAGAATCAAAGGTAAATGAAGCAGAGGTCCATGTCCTTAGCTGTAGTGGACTGTTAGGGGCACGGACAAAGATCATTTCAGCAGTCACTGAAAGTTCCTTTAAAAAAAAAAAGAAAAAAAAAAAAAAAGGCTAGAGCAGGTGCATCGGGGACCAGAAGATTGCAATGTAAGTATCAACACAACAGATGCAAATTTATTTTTCTTGCTGAGAATTTAAAGGAGGGAAAATTATCATCAGACTGGAGGAGTAAAAAATGCCTCTAGAAGGCCTGATGGGTGGGAAGAAATGGCTGGACTATTGAGTCAGCTGGATTTTGAGTTCGAGTATAGATCTGGGAGGAAGATCTTGGGTTAAAACCTCAGAAGCAAGTAAGGAAGCAAAGGAGACAGGAAGGCAGTATGGCATTAAAATAACTGTCATAGAAAAAAGACTTTAATGATAAACTCTTTTGTTTCCCAATGACATTCTCATCCAAATTTTGCACCAGAGTTCAGATTCTGCTCAGCCTAAACCTGGGGTATGGGAAAGGCCCTGGAGAGTGGAGAATATCCCTCTAAATTTGTGCTGTCTAAATGGCACCACTGAATCAGGTTTTCTGACCCAACTTCTCAGTTATCCCCTATATCCAGTCAGTTAAAGAGACCTGTAGGTCCTGTATAACTTTTTCCAGGATTGCTCCTTGTTTTACATTGACATCCATCACTTTAAGCCACATGTCCACTGCCTTATGCCTGGATTACTAAAAACAAAAAACAAAATCAACCAAACAAAAAACAACAACAAAAAAGAAAACCCCGTGTCTCCACTCTCTAGTCCACCCAGCACTCAACCACAATGGACTTTCCCAAACATGATTCCTTTCCCGCTGCTGCCTAATTTCTACGACTTCTCTGCTTACTCTTTATTACTATCTATACAATCAGATGTGCATGCAATATCCTGGTATTAAAGGTGTTTCATGCTGTGGACCCAAATGTCTCTTCGAATTAATCTCTTATTAGTTGTCTATTACCTACCTCTACTGGCTCCTAAGAGATGCTGTGTTCATTCTTGCCTCTGACTAATGGTGGCCTTCAACCCTTCTCTTCTCTATCCATCTCCGATTACTTTTTCAAGGCCCTGGTCAAATGGTACTGACTCCAAGAAGCCACTGTAGGCCCGATTTCATTTACCCCAACATTTTATTTTGAAAAATGTCAAACAATGTTAAAGTTGAAGGAGCAGCATGATGAGTATCTATAAACCCCTCATCTAGATACAGCAAAAAATTAACATTTGTCACATTTGTCTTATCTATGTTTATACATTTTTTTCATTTGAAAGTTGTAGACGCTATAATGCTTTACCCCAGCTACTTTAGCATATATCCCCTAGAAACCTTGAAATTCTCCTATATAGTCACAATGCCATCAGCATACCCAATGAGTTTGACTTTGACAAAATAACATTATCTAATATACAGTACACATTCAAATTTCCTCAATTGCTTCATTAATGCTCTTTACAACTGCTCTCCAATTACCAATCCAGGAGTCAATGTCATGACCCTTCTCATTTAATCTAGTACACTCTCGCCTCTTTACTTTCTTTGTCTCCCATAACACTGACATTTTGAAGAGTCCAGGCCAGTTTTCTGACTGAATGTCCTGCAGTCTGGATTTGTCTGATGTCTCTTAATGATTAGAGTCAAGTTAAAAGTTTTTAAAGACTCTCATATGCCTGGAGTTGTGGTTCACAATTCCAGCACTTTGAGAGATGGAGGCAAGAGGATTGCCTGAGTCTAGGAGTTCAAGACCAGCCTGGGCAACATGGTGAGACCTTATCTCTACAATTAAAAAAAAAAATTGGCTGGGTCTGGTGGCATAAGCCTGTAGTTCCAGCTACCTGGAAGGCTGAGTTGGAAGGACCATATGGCTGTATTCTAGCCTGGGCCACAGAGTGAGACTCAGAATAAAAAAAAAAGAAAGACTCTCCTAAGTGATGTTGTATAATTTGCCCCATTTTGGTGATGGCAGGTTTGATTACTTAGGCAAAATGGTGCTCCTGAGATTTTTCAATGGTAAGAATCTATTTTCCTATCTAAATGAATGAGAAATCTGAGGTGTACTATCTCGAGACTATATAAATATCCTGTTCTCCAACAATCTCTCATCCAAAAATTTTACACCAATAAGCCCTGTCTGAACCACTTATTGCACTAGTGCCTGCAAAACGGCTATCTGCTAATTCTATTATTCCTTCTACATCTATTAGCAGGGAATCTTTTGCAAAGAAAATCATCCCATCCCTTATCTGGAACAGTGCTATGATCTCACAGATCTGCTCCCTCCCCCAAGTAATGATTATACTTCATTATCCTTTCTTTTAAAAATGTCTAAAATGTCCCAATCTGGCCAGTGGGAGTTTCTGTAAGTCAGCTCCTATGTCCTTTTACTATGACACCAGCTGGGCTCACCTCATCCTCTCCCCACACCAGCCTTGGAACTCAACATTTCTCCAAAAAGTCCTACTCCTTTTGGCAGGAAATGAATGTAGAAATGAGATCTAGCTGCCAAGTACTCATTGCTGTTGAGCTATCCCTCTTTCTAGACCCTTTTAGTGGGCAAA